TTTTTTCGCACCTCCGTTGCGGCCGATGGCGGTCGTCCGATTGTACACGAGGTGGGCAACTTCTCCTACCGCAACGTCTTCGCCACCCACTGCTCCAACGGAGTCTTGACCGAAGACTCCTTCAAGTCGGTCATCCGGCAGTGCCTTCGCCTGCAGACGGTCATCCGACCGCCTTCTGAACGGCCAGACCTGGCAGTGATGTCCGAGGTGTGACAGAGGATCCATCGATTGGATCATCACACTGGACCATCCGCTGGCCGCTGGAGTGATCAGAAGGTGGATGATCTTATGATTATCATTTGCCTAATGATACAAGTCTTACAAGTTCATCCACTGGACCCCGAAAAATTCCGGGAATTCAGATCCAACCTGTGACCATCCTGCAGCCATTTCTCTTTCAGATCCAAACCATCAACTCAACTGCACCTGTCCACCAGAGTGGTCCACCATCCTTGAGCTGTTCACGCCACGCTGCTTCACGCCCTTCACGCTGCTCGCCCTTCACCCTGCTCACCAAGGTTTGAACCGGACATCAAGAGCGACCAGCTCACACGTCTCTGGCGCGGGACCATCCGGACATGACACGAAGACGACTTGGTGAGAGGAGAGGACAGAGAAGAGAGAGAAGTTGACAGTCAACAACTTGAGAGGAGGAAAAGGCACCACCATTCAACGTTGCTGTAGTCTTTTTTTGCAGATCAGCTCTCAATTTGCCTGCCATGTCTCATGTGCTGGGGAGGGAGCCAGCCAGCCAGCTGTGCTTGATGCTCGATAGGGAGAGCTTCTGAGCGCAGCTCTGCCGAGGTTCTTTGCCGATGAAGACGGATCTGGCCGAATTGATTTGTTCGAGTTCATGCGGATGATTGGCCCGGAGCCCCCGAGTTCGTCATCGCCACGCAACGCCAGCTTCGAGAGCCATGCCATGCTATGTTCTCACAAAGATAGATGTGGGGTTCATGACATGAAGTGATGACACGATTTGATGGGCGGATCCAACCTAGAAGTCAGATTGATTCAATTGTGCGTTCTTCCAGATATGCGCTGCAAGTGTCATGGAAACCGGGAGCGGGCCCAGTTCTTTGATTCGAGGCTGCAACTCAAATGGCGAGATCGGGGATGAGTACTATGAGGTCGTTGGCACCTCAGATCAGCTGCTCCGCCCTGCATTGTCTTTTAGCTTGAAACGCCCGAACCCGAGGTGAGATAGACGCGATTCATGCTAAGTGTCAAGTGCATTCACAAAAAAATACCATATATAGGCATACTTCATCCCAAGGATATATATCCGGAGTCCAGAGTCTCAGTATCTTCAGCTCTTTCTTGCTCTCACTTGGGAGGTATATACTGTACGTAAGTTTCGAAGACTACTGCGACACTCACTTTCGCCCTTTTTTGTCGAAGCTAAACGCCCCTGGCTTTACCGCCCCGTTCCATTTGCTTGTAGAACCACGTTTGGTAGGGACAACTGTCCAACGTTGTTTTCCACCTGGCGGGGGTAGTCAACATCGGTCAACATATAGACATGTCGATATAGAGTACGTCTATGTCAACGTCACCTACTCCAAATAAAATTCCAGATGGCGGTTGAATCACCTTGGCAGAGTCGCTTCCTCTTTTGGAGCAGTCCAACATATATTTCTCGACCTCACCCGCCGATGCCAACGACTGGGAAGTCCGACTTGGCACGTCTGACTTCGGACGACCCAGTTGGCCATGCACCTCTACCGGAAGTTCCACGCGCGTGGCGGCGTCCGCCGGGTCTATGCCACTGCCGACAAGAACTGGGACCGGTGAAATTGGCCGCTTGTGGGGGTTCGAAGATGTTCGAAGGATGGCAGATGGCTAATCAACAGGGTGGGTCACAGGGTGTGACACCAGCTTGGTGATATTGCTGTAATGATTGATGTATGGACATGTCAACAAGAATTTGTCTGGATTTGGGCAGCAGGAGTATTTGTTTGGGGTATATTGTTTGATGTCTTTCTTGTGCCACAGAAGGTCAGACCCTGCCAGCACATTTAATCAACTCCACGTTCGCGAGTCGCTTTCGCCCGTCGCGACACGGTCCATGTTAGCGCTTGCGCCACGATCCATCGTTGCCCCACTATCTCGATCTCGATGGCGCAGGATCAGCATTTGGACCTGGGAGAGTTCTCCAAGTTCATCAAGACCTTCTTGAAGGAGCCCAATTAACTGCACAGATCGCCTCGTTTACCAGGAAGTGAAGATCACCTGCAGGGTCACCACTAAACCAATCAACGAACAGGTGGATCCTTGGAACACCACCACACCCCAAATGTCCAGGTGATCGAAACGGCGAGGGGGGGAGTCAGACCTGGGAAGTGAACACCTTAAGACGTACCTGGGCAGAACCGTGGTGAGATGAGGTGAGGTGAGGTGAGGGAGTTAGCAGACCACCCCAATGCCACACGCTTTCCGGAAGATACGCATCACCGATCTGCACGTCCATGTGGCGTTCCCTTCGATCTCCCAGCGACGGTGCGTGAAGTCGTTGCAGGATGTGGAGTTCACCAAGCGCGAGACGACCCAGGCGGATTTGGAGGTTTGATTTAGATTTGGCCGAGACACAGGGGTTTAGATCTCTCAGCTTGTGGGTTTAGGATGGTTTAGCTATCTCACTGCTATTTCTTTGGCCCATGTGTGTTTCAGTGTTTGTACTCTTTGTGGGAGGGGGGGCGTTGACAAGCATAGAGAGGCAGCTGCAAGAGTGGAACAATTCTCAAGGGGTACAACCAGGTCTTGTGGCTTCCCTCAACTTACACTTCTTGTACTGGGTGCTTCGGGTCGTACAGTTTGTGAAGTAACTCATCATGGAAATGGACATGGTCATCCGAAATCGGCACCATTGTCCATCCACTTCCGTCTGATGGATTTCAGGGCTGCTTTTTCGGACAGACGACGTGAGCTGCGATTTCGGACGTCACCGAGCCCCGCCGAGCGGTTCACGCGCCGGCTGCGCGACGGTCAACGCAGGTCTTTCACCGGATCAACACCTCTGGGTCGGGCTTCATGAGTGTCCATGAGTGCAGCTGACATGTTTCTCTATTCAGTGCCACTGGATTACTTGATTGAAGAATTGTTGTTGTTGTTGTTGTTTGTCAGTAGAAACGACTTTTTGGTGTTTTGGTGGTGGACGTCCATTTGGGCTTTTTCTAGCAGAAACGTGGGCTCTGGCAATAACAGGGTTTTTCAGAGTTTTGTTTTCAGCTTTGGCTTTGGTTCAATGAAGAGGAAGTTCCTTGGCGAACAAAACATCTTCGCCTTCGCTCGATTTGTGTCACTTAGTTTGGCCGCTTGGCTGTGCAGTACGTTAGCCATTAGCAACATATTGTAAAACAGATCAAGTGTTTGGATCGGTCTGGAAGCTCAGTCTGAAGCTCAGTTCGCCAGGTTGGAGACAGCACTGGAAGCGGTCCGGAGACTCTGTGATGCTGAAGTTCAGCCTGATGGTCTCTGAAGACATATATATAGGTTAACTATACGGACTATAGGTTAAGGGTGCCTGGTGCCGGACTGTGTGTCTACAAAGAATGAGGTTCGTCCGGGGTTTCGCCCGAAACCGCGGAGCGCAGAAGCCTCGTGTGTTGTCCACCAAGGCTGGTGCGAAGTGCACGGTGTCAGAGGCTTGGGTCAAAGAGACCTTCCAGGCGGTGCACGGAGTGTGCTTTGCGGAAGTGGCACGGTGGGCACCGGTGCCTCCCGAGTGCCGAAGCGGTTGAAACCCGGTTTTCGTGGATCTCCAACGGTGGGAACTTGCGGTCTGAGAAGACTTAATGAGTACTGGATGTACCATGAAAGAGTTGTCCGTTCTGATTCACGCATATATTCCACGATAATTCTACGGTGTACTTGCCACCCTTTGGTCAAAAGAATCCAGGGCCACAAGGAGTCTTCCACAACACCAACCTTGGGCGTCCAGCCACAAGCCTCCATGAAACATGACGGGAGCGCGAATACGCAGATCCTGTTGACAAGCTCTAATGATACCACATGTACACTCCCTGAAACAATAGAAATGGATGGTATTTGACCTAAAAAGGTTGGCCATGACATCCGAATACCAAAGCAAGGTGG